AAGAAGTAAGCTGCCGAGACGGGTCTGAGAATATGGTGCACTAACTGTTGTAGCGTCAGAAATAAGTGGGAGTTGACGCTGCGTTGCATTTTCGCCGACGTTGTCGCTTGGACTGAAACCCGGATGTCATCCACTGAGAAAGCTAGCGACTTTCTAGTGGATTTCCCAAATCAAAGAGTGGATCGACGCGGGCAACACGTTGGTGGAGGGGTGCTTTTGCTCTGTAAAACAACTACAAGCACTGGGAAGCTACATTTTCCATGGCAACGTCGGATGTTAAGGCTATTGCTTACTTTTTGAGGGTAGATGGTAGGTTGGAAAATTTCGTCTGTGTACCGTAGCCCTTCTTTCACAAGGGTGGAGGACAAGGAGCTCAGCAGCATCTTAAAGAGGGCGGTAGCTGCTGCACCGAATTTTGTTATATTTGGTAACCTAAAGCTTCCACATACAGACTTGGAGCATTCCATCATCGTGACAAGTACTTTGGAGTGGGAATCGGTTAACTGGATTCACGAGAATGCGTTCGTCTAACACGCTGTGCTTCCGACGAGAAGTCGAATTGGGCCTACCCCTGCACTTTAGATGTTGTGATCGCTAGGCATGACCATGTACCAGAGATGCATGCGGAAGCTCCATACGTAGGAGAGATCACTGTGTCCTTGCCTTTTCCGTGAATGTTAGGAAGCAACCATTGCAAGTTCGGCTTGTGAGAAATTTCGGCCAAATCGATATTAACCGTTTGCGGAACAGAGCTCTCCAGCTCCCTTGGGTTCCTGCTCAAAAACAGGCAACGTTAGAACAGATGGGGCATACCTAAGTCTGGCCTCGTGCAGTTGCTGGATGAATTAGCCCCTTGTGCCCGGATAGAAGCAGGAATAAGCCGTGCCAGTGGCAACGTGAAATTACCCGAAAAACCTTCCAGGAATCTAGATGCTTCATACAATGATTACACTATAAACAATATCGGAATAGAGCAATTAAATTGCAGAGGCGAGCTAAATACCACAATGAGCTCAGGTTATCTCAGAATGCAGAAAGGAATCGTTGCATTACAGTTATGTACAGTCTGAAACTTCTTTGGCGGAGGCGATTGGTAACCTGGCTGAGGATGGTACTGAGGTGGTGGGAGATGTAACTAAGGCAGGGGTGTTTTTGCGTGTCTTTCAGCATTTGTACCGTGTGGCCAGTGGCTGCACAATCCCCTCGCAGTCACATTTCTCATGTGACCTTGAAAAGCAAGGCGTTGTAATAACCGCATCAGAGGTGCGTGAGGCGTTGGCAGGCTTAAGTCCCCATAAATCGGCAGGTCCTGACAATGTTTATCGCTGATATTCTACAGTACCCCGTCTTGGACCTTTTCAACTGTTCTCGGGAAGGTAGGGTACCACATGACTAGAATGAGTCGAGTGTTGTAGCAATACATAAAAAGGCTCAAATCTGCGTCACTCAACTAGTAGTCAGTCAGTCGAACAAGTATTCTGCTTAAGTGTCTGAAGAAGCTCATTAGGCACCGAATTTGTAAGCACTTAGTTGTTAACAATGTGACTGGAGCGGAACAGCTTGGCTTGGTAAGAAAGAAGTCGTCTTAGGAATCTGTCGTTTCTTGGACGAAATAACCCGGGGCATCGATCTCGCGATTCCAGTGGAGATCTGCTACCTAGACATCAGTAAAGCATTTGATTCGGTTAATCATCGCTTTTTACTAGAGAAGCTGACTTGGTTCGGGCTGCATCTACAACTGATGACTTGGTTGTCGGATTTCCTGTGGCAGAAAGTTCAGTGTCAGAACTAGTATAGCCAGGTTTAGCATGGGCACTGCCCGTAGCGGAGTCCCCCAAGGTTCAGTACTAGGGCCGTTATCGTTTCTTATGTGTAGAAATGACCTAGCTCCAGTTATAGCGCGATTCAGCGTTATATATCCAGTACAAGACTAGCTGGTCAACCAAAGGCAATGGGCAGAACACACACAAAAGGTAAGCTAGGGAAAAGGTTTATTGGACGGAAGGAGAGTTAACTAATGCTAAAAATAGGGCACCATAAGAGAGTTAGCTAGGGAGGATGTAGTTGGGCGTCGAGTGCACGGACGGGGCGTCGTTCGCAGTCAAGTCGCGTGCGCCAAGGGCGGATATCGTGTTCGTGTTTCAAACAAACGGGAACAACGTTCCAACAGGCAAACCGCCTAGTTCCCTAATACATAAGAAAGCTATAATTTTAATACATTTAGTATAGCTTATACAATCATACGGGGGAATCTCCAGGTCACTACACACTCCTCGTGAACCATTTAAGTTTTTGTGGACGACGTAAAGCTTGTCAGTAGGAGAGATAGGTTGTCTAAAGACTTGGGCTCTGTGGCAGTCGTCTGAATCATGGAAGTTGCCATTAAAGGCGAACAAATGTCAGCTGTTATCATCCAGCAACGTTGGGATTACAGTACAAACATCCACAGGGTCCCTGACATTGGAGGGACTTAGGCATCGTTATGGTAGATAGTTTCGGATCATGAACGTAGGGCAAATATGCTGCTAACAGAGCGCGTCAGGAACTCTTTCGCCTCAGGAGTGTTGTGTATTACTAAACCCGAGGTCTTTCTCCCACTGTATAAGGCGGTAGTACGGCCGCACTTAAAGTGTTGTGTTCAGGCTTGGGCACATTACTTTTGGAAGAATGTTACTTGCTTGGAGAAGGTACAAAGACTAGCTACCAGAATGATTGAAAACCAGCGTGAGAGGTCGTATATTACCGCCTGGATTGCTTAAGGTTGTTCTCATTGGAACGACGCAGACTAAGAGGAGACCTGATAGAAATGTTTAAGATTACGAAGCGTCTCAGTGGCACTAAGCCCACTGATCTTTTTGAACTAGCTGCGTCGGACCATCTGCGGGGACACCATCTGAAGCTCAAGACACATAGGTCAAGACTGGTTATTCAGGCGAAATTTTGCACTAATCGCGTAATACGTAGTTGGAATTTACATCCTCCTGCACTAGTGGAATTTAATACTACAGAAGCCTTTAAAAGAGGCCTAGATATGAATTGGTTCACTCTGTTTCCGGATTTCCACTGAGATTAGTGGATACCAATTCGAACCAACAGGATGTCACGAATAATTTCATGAAGTTAGGAGACGTCCCTCTTACACCTTTTTGCCTGCAGAAGTGGAGCTTGAATGTCGAAGCGCCGGGGGTGTTGGTTTGCTTAACGGCACAAGGAACGGGACGCTCGTCAGACGAAGGCTTGTTTTGTCCCTGAAGATCTGACCTGACCTAACTTAGATGATGGCATTTCTAGAGGGGCTCGAGCTTCCCCTCTCAATAGTTGGCTCTAAGTGGTGTTCCTTAGGAGTCCGTCCTTGGTTCATTGTTGCTCATCTTGTGCGTTAATGACCTGCTTGAGAAACTGGGAGCGCCATCTCTCATGTTTGCAAACGACCTTAAGTTCTGGGACACGGTCAGTGACTCGGGTGACTCCCAGTCTGCAGAGCGCGTTTGATAAACTGGGATTGGTCCAATTTGTGGCAACTACCTATAAAGCTTTCAGTGCTCAGTTTTGCGCCTTGGGAACAGTGGTCCATCAACACCATACTTTTCAGGGGGCAACGAAGTACCGCGCGTATCCGAGCAAACCGAACTAGGTGTAACGTTGACACCGAATCTTAAATCGAGCGAAAGCACGACAAAGGCTATTTACAACGGATTCAAAATGCTGCGGAGGACCTGCAGATCATATGGAATCTTAACAGATGAGATATTTGCTAAACTTTACAAGGCTTTTAGAAGACCCCACGTAGAGTACTACGCTCAAGCCTGCCCCCTTGTTTAGTGCTGGGCAAGATAACGGTGGATAGGGTTTTGAGGACTGGCACCAAGACGGTGTGTGGGCTAAGACGTGTGCCATATCCTGAGATGACTTATGCTGGGAATTTTTTCCCGCTTTATCGGCGTCACCGGGATGATGTAACCCTTACCTATCGCATTTTATTGGGTCCCTTGGGTCCGGACTCCTTACTTTTCCTTCCGGTTCGATTTCCGATTCTTCGTGAGCATCCAGGGATGCCGCACAAGCCTCGATCCGATCGGGTGGCGGCTGGTGGCCGGCTATCGTGTAGAATACTTGACTCTTGGAATGCCCTTTCTGAGGATGTAGTGTTGGCACCGACGGTTAAGACATTTGAACACTGACTTGATGCCCTTGGTTTGAGGCTACAACTCTCCCCTTTGCATCAGCCTGAAGTACAATATTCCAGTTCGGTCTTGATTTCCAGTGTTTGTTTTACGTTGTCTGTTGCTTCAGAAGGCTTTCCTTTCCTTTCGTTTGGTTTGGTTTTACTTCCACTTCACGTGACCGGCACAGCGGGGACTGCTCGAAGTATCGGGGGCTAAAAGTCGAAGTATCGGGGGCTAAAAGTCGAAGTATCGGGGGCTAAAAGTCGAAGTATCGGGGGCTAAAAGTCGAAGTATCGGGGGCTCTAAAAGTCGAAGTATCGGGGGCTCTGGTTCGCTTACCGGTACAAGAAGCTGGACGCTCGTTAGGCGGAAGCCTGTATCGTCCACGGATTTTGACCTGACCTGACCTGACCTGCTCGTGCAGGACCTGTAGGTATTGATTGGTTGACCGCGGTGTGACGCGTGTGCTAAATGTACACTTTCAGAAGACAAATCTATCTGCCGAAAGCTACGGTTCACCAGCGCTTTCACCATGAAGCATCCATAAAATGCTCGTATTGTTCCTATGCACTTGAACTTCAAGCCTACCAGTGTTATTCAAGGCCGACGGTATGTACGGAAATACGAGAATGGCTTTTCGAGCAACTGAGTTATGGCCGAGTAGAGACATAGTAGCTTTGTTTTCATCATCTCAATAACAAACGGATGTGAGGGAAATATTAGAGACGTAAGATCCAAATTTATCTCAGAACACTTCGGTATAGAAGCGAGAAAATGTACATAGAAGCAACGCAAAACAAAAGAACAAACGAGACTAATGTGCTTAACACTTACGAGACCCAGATGGTCTAGCATGGCGCGCACCAAGCACAAGTTTACCCGGTTGATCAATGGAAGTAAAGGAGCGAGCATCTCCAATGAGAAATTCAAGCGCCTCTTCGACTGATCTGCAGCCAGAAGAGTGAGCGTACGCAATTTCATCAAAACTATATCCCATTTCTAATAGGGGTAAAAGGTGCTCCATCAGCGAAGATCATCTCTGAACGCAAGAAAAGAAGAAACTCGGCGTCCACGAAGACCCAATTTCCGCGAAATATCTTGAAACAACGTTCAAGGTCACCTTATTTAAGGTCCAGAATAATTGGTTCATCGGTTCGTAGAGAGCAAAAGGGAGATCCGTTGTCAACTCCATCGCTTATCGATCATTACTGGGATGCTCGTCATTGCGTAACGGAAACTCCGGAGAGGTCATCTCACTCGTAACTGAGGCAAACCGATCCCGGCATATTCAACAGGTGTGAATCAAGTAGTCAGTTTCAAGTTCAAGCGGGATTAGAACGATAGGATGATACCGCGAGTGTTCCTTCTTCGGCGGGTCGTTGAAGCAGGAGTTGGCGAACCTTGAAATACTGATGGACCTAAAACAAAGACCGCATCACACCCTGTCCAACCAAGTAATGCAAACGTATCCTGCCCTAGCAGTCCCTGCTGGGCCAGTTACGTAAAGTAAAAAAGAGAAAAAAGTAAACTCGGAAGGCAAAAGAGAAAGTGGAAAGAGCTAAGCAAGTGGAATACCAAGATATTTGAGTCATTATAAAAGAACTGAAAAGTGAAGGTGAGTCAGCTAGGAAAAACGAAAAGTTTGCTATTGCCGCCCAAGAGCATTGAGCTGGCGCGCAAACCCTTAACCGTAGATTCTCTAAACACATGATCTGTAAGCGAATTCCAGCGCTCTATAACGCGGCGCGACAGACGGGTTTCCGTCCTAATCCTATCAGATCGTCGTTCAGGCAGTTTCAGTGGGTGACCGCTTAGATTAGGTAACGTAGCGGGACTAAATAACCCTGACAAGTCCGGGCCAACCTTACCCGTCAAAATACGATAAGTGAGAATCAGGTCCCCTCTTATCCTTCGGTAGTGCATGGAGTACATACCCAAACTAAGCAAGCGTTCGGGATACGTCTGTCCCCGTAGACACTGCACTAGTCGAGTGCCCATTCGTAACACCCTCTCCAAGTCCATTTTGTCTCGGTTAAGACATGGTGGACTATCCTGAATACAATATTCCAGGTGGGTCGGACGAATGCCGAAAATAGCTTCACAAACAAATTGGCCGTTATAAATCCGAAAGAGCGGCGGATAAACCGCATCCTACGAAATCCTCGACAAGCAGCCTTCTTCAAATTGTCGCCAGAATGAAGTGCTGATGAGTGTAGACCCCTAAATCAACCTGCTGTGTGACAACAGAGAGTTCAACCCCGCTGACAACATAGCGAGTGAGAGGACTAGCAACTCCACTTCAGAGAACAGAACTTCGCCCTATTTATAGGCAGCAACCATAAAGTAGACCATTACCAGAGCCTATCCAAGACATGCTGAATTGCCTCAGGACCTCATGGGATATCCACAATGTTCCAGAGTTTAAGGTCACCAGAAAACGTTAGTGATGACACCCCTAGCTCTCCAGACAAGTCATTTACATAGATCGCGAACGGTAAGGGCCTCAATACAGAGTCCTGCGGGACGCCACGGAGGACAGCTTGCCTGAGCGGAAGGTTACGCCCCACCGGTATGCACTGTTCCCTCCCCTCAACAAAAACAGACCTCGATTGAACGGCGCGACCAGATATCCCATAAGACCTCAACTTTACTGAAAGCCGTATAAGTGGAACAGTGTCAAAAGCTTTCGAAAAATCTACGAATAGCACATCTACAGCTTGGCCACTGTCTACCGCTTTGGCCCACCTTTCACAAGCTACAAGTAGATTAGTCTGACATGAAAATCCTTTGCGGAATCCATGCTGCGCAACACTGAGAAGGTTGAATCAATTCAGGTGGTTTTGCACTGAAGCCGTTAACCGTTTTTCCAATAAGTTGACTACTTGGATTGTCAAAGTGAAAGGCCGGTTGTTCACAGGCAGAGCGCTGTCACCGCCCTTAAAAATCGGACAGATGATTGATTCCTTCCATTCCGAAGGTAGGATGCTACTGTCCAGCGATATTGACAACACCCATGTAAGAGGACCACTCAGTTCAGTGGCCAATTCATGCGACAGCTTCGGAGTAATTGAAGCAGGACCGGAAGCTTTAAAGGGATTAATGCATTGCAGTGGCGCGAGAACCTGAGTCTCCGTTATTCTAAATTCATCTAAGCACTAATCCTCTGGAACTCTTGAAACCAATGCAAACTGTGGTAAACAGGTCTCCAGAGCAAAGACCCCAGTATACTGATCACTAATTATACAAGCATTTTCATGGTCGGGTTGCGCACGGGCCCAGTCTGCTAGCAATACCGCTGGTATAGACAGTTTTACCCCGCTGCGTCTTTTAAATTAAGCAAAATACTCCTTAGGCTTAGATGCGGCCGAGTCCGCTAAACCCTGCTCGTACTGGAGACGAGCAGTTCTGAGATGTTGTTTACATTTATTTCTAATCTCTCGATAACTATCATAGGTACTGGCTGATGGAGATGCCTGGTAGGTTCGTCAGCATCTAGACCGTTTCTTGAGTAGGTACTTGCCTGTGGTGTCTATCCATGGAAACTTTTCCCTTAACCCTCTTTTTCTAATGAGTGGAATATAGGGAGTGGAAACCTCCGTAAAGTATGCCTTAATTTTATCCCAGGCTAACTGGACAGAGTCAGCCATCGAGATCTCACAGTTCAGAACTGAAGCCTTAGCTCGCATTGCACTAAAGTCCGCCCGATAAATATTCGGAAGTAATTCAACAGCGGTCACTTGGTGCGTTGAAACAGCACATCGAAAGGATATGCATGCGTGATCGCTTGACCCTGGAGGTGCACCGTATGAAACGTAAGTCACGAAGTCCAGGGAATTAGCGAAACCCAAGTCTGAAGTAGATGGTATTTGCTTGTCCATATACCTAGTGGGAAGGTCAACGAACTGGTGCAAAGGCACTTGAAGAGTCAGTTCAAGAAAGTCTGCACCGAATGTTCCTAATGCCGAATTGCAAGAAAGATCGGCCCACCAGAATTCCGGGAGGTCGAAATCCCCTAGAACTAGACACTTATTCGCAGACTGAGTGCAAATAAAGTCAAGTACCCCCTGGAAGAACTTTCAGGAGTTCTGTATATCACTATAACTGAAACCTGGGTAGAGGAAGTGCACAAAACAGCCGAGAGTGCTTTAACAGTCTGATCCGAAGGCTGGAACGTGCAGGTCCTCAACACATCTAGGTTACAGCCCACATACAGTACAACGACTCCGCCTTTGCGACCAACGGAGCAATTAGTTCTAAGCAGCGTGTAGCCAGTTAAACATACCTCACCGTCCGTGATTTCCGGAGACAACCACGTTTCAGTGAAAGCAAGTATGTCTGGACGAGAGTTGTCTACAATTAGACCCAACTCGCGCACCCTGTTCCTTAGATTACGCACGTTGCTAAGTACTACCTCAAGGAAGTCGGTATGACCATCCTGGGTCATGCGCCATCAGGATGGGTTCTGATAGCGCGGAAAATAACTTCCGGCTGACCACCTGAAAGCCCACCAGACGAAGGCCTTGCTCACCAGCCGCCCGTCTAGTTTTGAGGTCTTTGATAGCCTCCTTTAACTTCCATCTATCCGTCAGTGGTAGGTCCGGCTGCATGCTGACACCACTACCCTTGTTTGAATGCAAACCGCAGTGATGATTTGCGTTCCTCCGGGGTAGAAAAGGCCACACAAAGTAGTCGGGGTCGTGGATTTGGCTTAGCGATATGGACGTTCCCCAATCTGGTCAGCCTTCTGAGTGTGACATTAGGGAAGCCAGGTGGAAGCAGCTTGCTGACACACAGTTTCAGCCACTTAATATCATCCAAGATGCGTTCCCTTGGGAGAGCGGCCGCAGATTCAGTAACGTTACGGAATATAACGCTACTATCCGTGAAAGGGTCGGCACGACGGGGAGTGTTTACCCCACGTTTGTACCAATCATCTGTCTGTGCATCAACGACCGGAGGTGGTAACCGGTTCCAAGTACTCACAACGCGAGTGGATAGAGCGTGAATAGAGTGTACGTTGGGCCTCCGTGGTTTGAATATTTCCCATCGGTGGCCTCTGGTCGAATTCCCAATGTTGAGATGGATGAATTCCTACAACTCTCCCTAGCTCTCCACTGAGGATACGACGGGTAAAAATCAAGTCCTCATGCCGGCGACGGCACCCCATAAAAAACATATGCAGATGTCGAAGCCGAAGGGGATACGGCAGGTTACGTACCTCGGAGACAAACTTCGATCCATGCCGTTGGACCTTTTCGATCATGTCCATCTCAAATTTGTGAAGCAGGTAAGCAGCAGGGAGGCCGTATTCTAGAATAGGGAGCACATGCGAGGTGAACAGGTGTCTAAAATGTTCCTGTGTCACGCGACAGCAAGCCCTTTGGCTAGCCTGTAGGCAGCGGCAACCCTCTTCACGTTGTCCTGAGTCGATCTTAAGTCTGCGGAAAATATCACGCCCAGATCTCTCTCTGAAATAACATTTGAGCAAGAAACCACCTCTGTTGTAAGCGCCGAATAGTTCAGGAGTTCCGATAGGCAGGACGGAACATTTGTCTTGAGTAATGGGTAAGCGCCACTGAATCGACCAATTGTGCAGGAGCCCGAGCGTCTCCTGTAGTTGATCAGCATCCTCTAGAGAGGATACCTCCTTTCATATGTTTAGATCATCCGCATAAATCAAGCACTCCGACTGAAGGTCAGACGGTAGGTAGTGGATGCAGAGGTTGAAGCGTTCAGTGCCGAGGACGGAGCCCTGTGGGACACCGCTGGTCATGTGTTCAGGATGGGAATACGTTTCGTTCACTCTCACCAGCACGGAACGACTATGCTGGAAATTTGTAATCCACGCGAGAACGTTTCAAGTGACTCAAATTCCTCGGAGTTTATAGAGAAGCTGTTAACGCGAGACCTTATCAAAAGCTTTACTGAACTCCATGAACAAAACATCCAGGCGTTTGCCTACATCCAACCTATATGAACATTTTTCGCTAGCCCTAAGCCAGTTGGTGGTATGTATGTAATCTCAACAGTCTATTAACGAGACACAGTGCCAGCATAAAACCATGGAGAGCAGCCGCTAGGCAAGATTCATCGCGTCATAATCATCGT